TATTTAAAGGGACAATAACACTCTTGCTGGCTTGACAACTCCAGAAAATAAATAATAGCCTTATTCTAAGTATTAGATGTTTAAGTGTCCTACCTGTTGTGTAAATTATCCATTACATCCTATTTTTAAATCCAAGTCACATTTGAAAAGGTTTACGTTAGGCTTTTCAAATCATTTAGTTGAATTTTTCCAATTTTTTAAATTAGATGTGTTAAGATGAAATTTGTATCATCAATTAATTGGAATATTGTAAAGTAGTACAATTTGTTGACCAGAATAAAGATTGGGACAATATTATTCAGTTACAACAAGAGTGGTATTGAGCCTTTAAACGTATTTTGCTCCTTCAATGAATAATTGAAGTTGACAGTGTCCTATAATTCACACGAGAAGATATAAAGTATTATATATAAGATACAATAAACTCTGACAACTTATATCAGTGTTAAAGGTAATTAAATATAACGGGACCCAATTTCAAATCACGTGACATAAATTGGTAGACTACTAAAATAAGGTTTGTTTATACTGGTACTATGGAAGCCTGTTGCGGACATTTTATAATCTCGCATCGATGAGTCAGGGGCATATATTTAAAAAGTTCGCATATATGTCCAAAAGAATCAAATTCTACTTTTATCTGACAAGTGAATTTAAGATTTTACACAAATTGTTAAATGGTTGCCACTTTTGAACAAAATTCATTTTGGGGATGGGGAAATCTGATTCAAATACAGATCTATATTTCGTTTCGTTTTTTTTTATACTTTCGATAGCCTCCACTACACGAAGATCTGACCGGTTGTGGCGGAAGGTCGCGTCAGAGTTCATACGAGCGGCTTTTGATCCTATGACGTCTGACATTTGTTTAGCCAATCAGCGTTGATGCTTCTAGTTGGTTACCCACAGTTACGTGCACCTCACGCCAAAAAACTCGCCGTAACATACCGTTTCATTGGCTAATCGCTCACATCATCCAGAACGCGGGTTATATAACAAATTTTTCAGATCCTAGTGTAGTAAAGACAAGTAAAACGAAATTTTAAACTATAAAAAACGAATCGAAATAGGATCTACGTTTTAATCAGATTGGAGATGGGGCAGCAAGAATGCCCCGGGCAACATTCTTTTTAAAAGCCTGGTGGAACATGCTTGGGTGGTACAAAAAACAAGGTGCACCACTGTACAAAATACAAGTCCTAATTCATCAGAGTAAATAAAATGTCAGCTAAACCCCATCAATTCCATTTCTCCCTCATATTCCTGAAACAATGACCATAGAAACCTCTTTCTAGCCATCGCTGGATTGGGTTCTGATACTTGAACTTCGAAGGAGTATGTCTATTCTTCCCGTTCAATCATATCTATCCCAAGCACTGCAATATGACAGACCTTCGTTTAATCTAGGGTCGTCCCTAAAACTTCGGACAGTGATATAAAGTATTAAAAACGGTGAAAGTGTTGTTCGTCTCCAAACAGTAATGATTACATTGTATTCGTTTTAATAGCCTCGTTTGTCACGCAATTAGTTTTTTCTGCAATATTCTGCTATGCACTAGTTAACTGGGCCTAATAAAATCGTGAGTCATGACGTAACGTTATGTAAACATATTTGGTCCAATTTGGAGCTCTGTTTAAAGCGTAATGATATTGTTACGCAGTTCGCTATTGGTAGATCATCGGACTATTGATCAGTCATAATTGGGAACAGAAATTTGCTTCCGTTACAGCAGTGTTAAGTGGGATTAGGTATAATCAAATAAAACACTGCGAGGAGTATGTTCCTCCACAAGAGTTGACGAGACCGTATCCCCCATTGTTTTTATTTATTTCTATTTCATTCCTCCTCACGCGATGGCGAGACTTTAAACCTTCGTTCTATTTCATTCCTGCCCAAGGAACAAGTTGATATCGCGTGACTTAAAGAATAAATAAATCCTAGTTTCTATGTTTGTTTATCATTTAAACACGAGGGCGTGGCAACCACGTGTCATTGCGTCTTTATTTACTAAACAAAGTTAAACATTTAAAAGTACGTATTAAAGACGTATTATGTAAGAGCAATCCCTGGCTATTGATGGCCCTTTTATGGCCTCAAATGTTATATAAATTACTATTTAGACATTTATTCACAAGACACGCCAATAATCATCTCTCTGGATCATCGAATGGTCGTTCTTTTAACGGACTGAAACAGGGTCGCCAATTAATAATTTAATTTAAAAAATGATAATCGAGACTTTCTGAATTATTGAAAAAATGGTGGGAATGAAAGTCGAGACTACGCTTTTCTTATCAAAACTTCCAACATTAATAACTATGCTCACAACAAAGTAATTTGACTGAAATTTTCAATTTATTCTGTTTCCAATATCTATATTTAAACTATTATAGCGGGAATTGCCAGCTCGTTATATAAATCTTACATATTCATCTTTATTTGGTGGAAAAATCACATTGTTTTCTAGTGGGTCATCTTCCACAGGACCAGGGTAAAACTCTAAGGCGTTTAAAGCCTAGCCTGTGTTCTCACAAGGTCACGAGATGTAAACAGGGTTACGGCAGCGTGATTGTTGCCGAGGATTGTAGGTTAGGGTTAGCAATAGCCCTATCAACATGTTTTGACTACTTTAGTACTGTAACAATGGTAGCAATGAAAGTCATCTTCCACAGGACCAGGGTAAATCTCCAGGGCGTTTAAAGGAGCTAAATCGCTAATATTTTGGACCTAGAAATTGGCACAAATGGGTCGGAACACATATAATAATGTTATATGAATTTATATAAACTGTTTTACATTCAATCGTGTCCGTTTTACTGTGAATTGTGATCAGTTATGTTCGGCGAAATATGCCAGAAGTCTAAACAGCAAGTCAGTTTCTAGCGTCTGGTTATTCCAGTCAACACCGATATTATTTATTGCGCATGCTCTCCAAATAAGAACATGATATCACCGTTTGACATGACTTGTGAAATATGTCTAGCCTTCATTCTTTGAGCACCTTGTTACAAATGGCGCTGAGACGCATTGTGGTACACGATTCGTGTACCAATGGTAAAATGTTTATTTTGTCTTAAATATTGGATATCAGAAGCCCGTCTTTTCCAGGTAAGATCACAACACCAATGCTGATTTAAATTGCAAAAAAATTCGTGTTTCCAATGTCGAAGATTTTGGATGATATTGAGTTACGGACTTAGCTACTTTAAAGTCCGGCCTATGTTCTCTAAATATTATATATTCAGGCCGTCTGCAGATTTCGTCATGGTCAGGCGGCCTTAATATTTAGACCTGACCCAAGAGACGCCTGACAGTGGTCGTTTTCTCCTGACACCCGGATCTATTCACCGAGGTTGATAATTATACGTCTGTCGTTTATTGCTTGCAATGTCTGTGTTGTTTGTGTGACTAGTGTAATTTTTGTATGTGGTGCAGTCCTCCTGCACTTACTATTAAGACCTTAATCCGCCCCAGTCGAATACATATTAAATAGGAACATTATGAATAATTCTGATTAGTCGAAAATAATTGAATTTTTCTTGATTTACATCAAACAAACTACATCACGTGAAAGTAATGTCAAAAAGAGCTATCAACGTATTATACATCTCCTTGACAACCAGTTACCGGTAATAATATTTAATTAGACTCTTCAACTACAGGTGAATCTATTTACCTGAAGTCATCCTTTTTCTTTTTTTACTTTTTGTTTATTTTCAACAACTTGAAATCTTGTCAAGACCTAATTCTCCCTCCAAAAGTTGTTTGATTTCTGGATGTCACGTGACTTTGTTGTGTCCACGAATCAACAAACTGGCGCGAAAGATAGCCCGTCTGTTTTCGTGTCACGTGCGTCAGTGGGTTAAGTTGACAAAACGGTGCTATATTGTGTTTTCGTCGACTGATTGACGTTTACGCTTGTATATATTAGTCAATAACCACGAACAGTTTCCTCCAACGTTTCAGGTATACCACATGTATTGAACAAAGTTTCTAGGACAATAATTACGGAACTTGAATTTAAACAACTTTCAGGCCATTTACTATAATAATCTATCATAGGCTATTTATCAAATATTTTGAACTTTATGTGGGGCGTTCTCAAAGAGGCCTTGTATACTTATCGCGATGTCGCTCCATTGCTTTTGTGAAATTAGATAACATTTCAGGCCTAAAGAAATTCCTACAATTGGCAGATTTAGCTGTTGTATAATGTATGTTTAAATTGTTTCTTTATAACATTTATAGGCTATACCCATTAGAATTTGTCCACCACTGTTTAACACTAATCCATGCAAAGAATGACAGGACTAATGAATATCTGTACACCCCATGTAGAGGGCTATGATGGACATATTTTGTACAGACAGTATTTAGGAGTTTTCGTGAAAGATGGCAATAAATCCATGTTGATTGTAATATAATGGAAGCATCAAAAGAGAGAGAGAGAGATGGGGTTTAACGTCCACTACACTCGACACAAACTAGGTCATTTTGGGACTAACACATGGTTCGATTTTATTTCAATAATTTGCTTGAGCATAGGGGTCTTTAGCAGTGAGAGGAAACCGGAGGACCCAGAGAAATCCCACAAGGTTGGATAGGCGACCCTATTTTTTGTTACATACAACCAGGGAATCTAAACCACGGCAGTTGACTCCACGACAGATCTTATTATAATGCAGCGCGCACGTGCTAACCATTTGGCAATCCACCCCACCCCCTCCCACCAGTAAATAAGAGAGGGAGAGAGGGAGGGGGTTTAATGGCAACTCGACACAAATTAGCTCATTTTGGGACTAACATATGGTTCAATTTTATTTTAATAATTCGCTTGCGCGTAGGGGTCTTTAGCAGTGGGAGGACCATGAACTATCGGGAATCAAACCATGCCAGTTGACTTAAATGACATGACCTTATGATGCAGTGCGCACATGCTAACCATTTGCGTGCGCCCCCGCCTCCCCCCTTCCAGTAAATAAGAACAAATGTATGGGGGTTGTTTAAAGTAAAAACGTATATTTTATTTATAAGAAGGATCTTGAATAGCTTGTCTAGGATCACATGTGAAGGAAACAGTTATAGCGTATCTAACACCATCCTTTAATCTTTCTACACGATGTAAATTCTCTGATCCTGATGTAAAAAATGATACACGACCTGAAATTAGATAAAAGAATTAATTAACAGCTATATATCAACTGGTAATAGGTTATTTTTAGAATAGGTTATTTTTAGAATAGGTCATTTTTAGAATAGGTTATTTTTTAGAATAAAATAGGAATTATGGATAAATCTAATCCATCACAGTAGTGTTTCTGAATACTCTAGATCGAATACCAACCAGTGCTCACTCTGGGTTTCATTTTTTTTCCGCCAATTTTTCATTTGAATTTATTAGCCATATATTTTCTCCGCCAAAATAAAGAACAAATATCTATTAGATTTTTTCAGTATTTTCTTCTTTTTTTTTTTACATAAGAACATACAATATTCCTTTGATAGGCCTATTACAATTTACAATATTCTTCTCTGCTTTGCAGAAGCTTTTTCAACATCTGGGTTAACCACTTTTCCGTTACTTAGTAACATTAAATTACTGTGTATTTGTTTATCTATAATCTTCCATAATGCCCCTTTAAGATTTTTCTTTTTTGAAATTTTTCTCTGTCGCGAACTTTTGAGGTAGCCTACATGCAGACCTATTGTAGAAGTTGATACCGCTTCAACACGGGCCATGACATGTGATTTGATGATAACTGACTTTCGACAACCCAAAGAATATACATGTATACGTAATTATAAACTGTAACAACAAACCTGGCTTCATTTATTAACGATACGGGCAACAGGAGTAAGAAAAAGATAAAACAGACGTCATAATTCAATAATCCCAAACAAATCGAGCGAGTATTAGTGTCCGCCATTTTGAATATATAGAAACAGTCAAAAAGCCACCGATTCGTATTTGAAGACAAATAATTAAATCTTTTGTCTCTTAATTAGTTTATTACTACTCGTACTGTAAATACTAATCAACACTAATCCGAGATTGATCAAGAGACAAAAGATATCTCCATTAATGGCACCTAATTGATTGATAACTGACTCAGCCAAGCGCAATAGACTGTAACGGGTATGCATGGCGTGGAAATCAAAGCTTTGTGGCAAGAAAAAAGTATCACCATGGTTAAAAAAGAATCGCCATACAGGAAAAAGTTATCGCCAAATAATTCGCCAGATTGAATATTTTATCGCGAAAATTATATTTTTATCGCAATTGGCGGCAATGGCGATCGACAGTGTGAGCCCTGATACCAACTGTCAAGATTTTGTTGGCAACACCCATCTCCTGTAATCTGCAAAAACCTTGTAAATCTGTTGAATGCAAATTTGAGAAAACAAAGGAAAATTGTTTTGTTTCAGGATTAAGCTACTGAATATAAAACAAATTTTATTTTGGCTTTTTAGATGAGGATAATTAGAAGCCTTTTCAGAGAGAGAGAGAGAGAGAGACAGAGATGGGGTTTAACCTCCACTCAACACCAACTAGGTCATTTCGGGACTAACACATGGTTCAATTTTAGTTCAATAATTCGCTTGCGCATAGGGGTCTTTAGCAGTGGGGGGAAACTAGAGGACCCAGAGAAAACCCACAAGGTTGGAAAGCCTTTTCAGTGAAGGAGAAAACCCTATATTATATACTAAATCCAAATATGGGTCTAACTCAATTTTCACCAAAAGTTGACTTACTAGGTTTTTGCAGATTACAGAAGCCATGCATTCATACACAGGAGCTAAGTTTTCCATACCATCCAAATGACTACGCCATTTGTCTTTGCCAGGCCCTGCACCACTGACAAGGGGGAACCAGGCTGGAAAATCTTCAGGAACCTTCTGGGCCAACACCAGGATCTAACTCAGGACTACCTGGTTAGTGAGTCAAGAGTCCTACTCACCGAGCCATCGTGACTGACAACCAGGATTTAATTTCGGAGACCGACATGTCTAATCTTGGCAACTGAAAACAGTGTGATTTAACCCTATGTTAGTCTCACCTAGTCTTGATTCAACTGATTTAGTCTCACCTAGTCTTGATTCAACTAGTCTCACCTACATGTAGTCTTGATTCAACTGCTTTAGTCTCAACTAGTCTCACAAGGTCTTGGTTCAACTGTTCAGTCCCATCTAGTCTTGGTTAGACTGCTGTAGTCTTACCTAGTCTAGGTTCAACTGTTTTAGTCTTACGTAGTTTTGGTTCAACTGTTTTAGCCTCACCTAGTCTTAGTTCAACTGCCTTACCTAGTATGTATTTCAATGTTTTTGTCTCATCTAGACTTACCTAGTCTGGGTTCAATGGTTTTATTACTGTTTTCATCTATAAATATAAATCGTCCACCAGTGAAATCTTGTTCGTATGTAGATAAATATAATAATGATGTGTAATGGAACGAACCATACGTCTCCTGAAAACAAACCAGAAAAGTCAGTTTAATAGCATCCAGGGTTTCTTTTACGAATTCCCAAATGGAGAGAGAGAGAGAAAGAGAGAGAGAGATATGGGGATTATAAACCTCCACTTGACACAAACTAGGTCATTTCGGCACTAACATATGGTTCAATTTTATTTCAATAAGTCACTTGCGCGTAGGGGGTCTTTAGCAGTGGAAGGAAACCGTATGAACAGAGAAAACCCACAAGGTTGGACAAGCGACCCAACTCCTTGTCACGTACAACCAGGGAATTGTAGAATTCCCAAATGGAACATTGCTCCCTAAGAAAATCAAAATATAATTTGACAGATTTGCAGTAAATATTATTATAATTCGGGGTCAAGATACTATTATTTATAAACTTGTTTCGATACAACAATCCCCCCAAGGCTTTTTTTAATCATGTCTCTAAACGTTAAACCCCATTTCATTTCATTTTATAAAGATATCTTGAACAGTTTCTGAGATATTCCCTCAAAAACAAAAACAGAGATATGGATGCACATGGTCCGTTTTCGACAAAGGATTATAATACTAGTTACCTTATCAACATGTGCATGCCAATATTCATCATGAATAGTACTTGGTTCTTTCATATTCATACGCGAAAAAAACGTTGGTTTTGTTAAATATAGTTTATCTTGTGGAATGTTAAATTCTCTTGCTATGGCTTTATGTATCTGATTCTTCACTTTCCTAAAATTCAAAACAGAAATTCATCCAGCCATGAAAATAAAAGAGAAAAAAGATAGGTGGCCAGGCAACGAACCATACACCCACAGCAGCTATTTTTTCTTTCGTCAGTAATCAAACATTGATAGTAGACTAAAATCTACATAAATATCAGAAAATTATTAGAATTTGTTTGAGTTCTAGTTCTGACCCACAGATGGGGGCGACGTCTATCATGTGCCTCACACATGGGGGGTCCGCCCCCCCCCCCACCAATTATTTTTCTGGGTGGTCTGAATATACGTGCCCCCCCCCCCCAATTTACATAGTAGGCCCTAACTCATATTTATTTACAACGATTATTAGGATTAGATAAGATTCTATCTGTATAAAACCTGTACATATCCCAATATGTTGGTGTGATGTTTTAGTTTAACCCCGTAAAATATGCTAAAACAGTGTTTACAGAAGAAAATTTGTTTATTGGGAGTGGCCCCCTAAACCCTCCCCCACACTCTCTCTTTTGCGTTACATCGGCTACTGTGCAGCCTCGTGCCTCCAGCGTCACAGATTGTCAACATTTTATATAATTTCATTTGCGGACCACCCCAATATGTATTTCACTGCTATGCCTCTGACGACAATATACGACCGCATTTCAATCTCGGCCTATAAAAATGACCTATTTTTAACTTCTTGCCATTTTTATGGGAAGCAACTCTGCATCCGTCTTCCATTAGCCCCATTGATGTAAACAAGTAGGCCATTAAACCCCATTTTATATCAGAATAACGAAGTAAAAGTTGTGTTTATTTTTTTACCTGAATCCTGGGTTTAATCGTTATCTTTATGTGTATTTATCTTTCATAAACATATTTTTTCAATGAAATGGGGTTTCTGTCCTACTGTTCTGCTTGAACTGGGCTAATGAAGACAGGCATACGCCATACAGTGTTCTATGAGTGAATTTTAGCCCGAATAGTAGCATTACAGTCTACTCTTATATTTAATTACAACTGCCAAGGGATCTTTGACATACACTCCAATGTGTACACGGGTCCTCAGGTTTTTTTTACCATCCCAATGACTAGACAGCTGACAAGGGATCTTTTAGGTGCATGCCAACGAATACACGGGACCTTGGTTTTTTGTACCATCCGAACGACTAAACAGCTGTCGTCTTACACTTCGCCATCGTGGCTCCATATAATTTTTCAATTTTAAACTATGTAGAACAATAACATAAAAGTGGAAAGAAAGCATATAGGCTTTGGCTGTTGTTCAAAGAGAGAGAGAGAGAAATGGAGTTTAACGTCCACTCCACACAAACCAGGTAATTTCTGGACTAACATATGGTTCAATTGTATTTCAATAATTAGCTTGCACAGTTGGTAGAAACCAGAGGAGCCATAGAAAACCCATGAGGTTGGACAGACGACCCTACTCGTTCTCACGCACAACCTGGGAATCAAAACCATGCCAGATGACTCAATGACAGAAGTGCAGGAGGACCGCACTACACGCAAAACAAAAATCTACAAGATAAGACAGAAAATAGACATTGCACCAAATAAACAAATATCAAATCAAGTGAATGGATCCGGGGGCTAGCCATAAGCGTCCACTGCGCTGTACAGTCCCAGGCCTGTAGTGACACAGACTTCACTCAAATTTAAAAACAATCAGGAATACAAAAAAGACGTAACAGAAATAATGCGACCAATCTTGACAGTGGTCGTTTCTTCGATGCTAACCATTCGGCCATCGAATCCCCCTAAAATATTGTTTAAACTAAATAAAGTAAGAGTTATAATTTGTGACTAACCTGTATATATTAAAATCTTGTATTGATAATAAATCTATATCTTCTGATTTTATAACACTGAAATAATAACACAAATCCTCAAACCATAAAGATTTCAAGGTTCTATTAGGTTGGGGCGGATCCAGGAATTTTTGCAGGAGGGGGTTTGCCAGGTCCCTGACACAATGTATCTCCCCCCCCCCCCTTCCCGCATGGTCTCTATCGTCATTTTGGCGTATATACATACACATTGAGCTTTTTAAACAGAGACATTCAACATCTCGTTTGACACCAATTTTTATTATAAAATGATAGAAATGAAATGAAATGGGGTTTAACGTCCTACTGTTCTGCTCCTATACTGGGCTAATGAAGACGGGCATACGCCATACAGTGTGCTATGAGGGAAATTTTGCCCGGACAGCGGCACTATCGCCTACTCTTATATCGAATTCCAACTGCCAAGGGATCTTTTACGTGCATTCCAATCTATACACGGGACCTCGGTTTTTCGTCTCATCCGAAGGACTAGACAGCTTTCCTTGCCAGGCCCTCCGTTCTGCACCACTGACAAGAGGGAAACCACGTCGGAAAATCCCGATGAACTTTCTCGGCCAATGCAGGGATCGAACACCCGACCTGCAGGATAGCGAGCCAGCGCCAATCACAACAGACAGAGTTAAAGTTATCGTTTTTAGTAAATCAAACAGTGAAAGTGAAAGTCTGGACATCTGTAACAATTACAGCCCATGTCTACATTCTACATTATGTCGATAAAATTTATTGTAAATTAATAATATTTTCAATCCTTACTTGTAAATATTTATAAAGGCATTGTCTTTGGATAAGGCACCAGAATGAAGATCTAAAATAGATGCCTGAAAAACAAACAAAGGAACATGTATATTTTGAATCAATTGACAAGGTCTACGATGTACGATACTACAAATGACTATATAAAAACTTCTTAGATAGGCGATTAGTAATTATGGGGTCTTTGTGGCCAAAAGGTAAAATGCATGCACATTAGATCATAAGGTCTGTCATTGAGTCAAGTGGCGTGGTTTCGATTCCTCTCTTGTATGTAACAACTGCGTGGGTTTTCTCCGGGTCCTCCGGCCAGTTTCCACCAACAGCTAAAGACCCCTACGTGCAAGTGAATTATTGAATAGAGAGAAAGAGAGAAAAAGAAATGCGGTTTAACATCCACTCGACACAAACTAGGTCATTTTGGGACTAACATATGATTGAATTTTATTTCAATAATTCAATAAATGTCAACAACATTTAAATTAGTCAATGGAAATTATTCTTACCCCTCCACTTGACCCACCAAGTGCAAGACCTTTCTTGGCAACACTGAAAATAAAAAAACAGCATCATGAGGTCCGATGCTCACACCAACATAAATAAAAAAAAGGGGAAAATTTATTCAATTACTTTCTTAATTTTACATAATTTGACTACCACACTGATCAAGTTATATTGGTGGAACCCAATTTACAGGGGGGCACAAACATATTTTCCCAGGGGGAGCGCCATCCAAAAATCAGCTCACTCAGCATTAGAAAATCAATTATTACCCCCAGTTAGGTCGAAAAGTAGATAGTAAGTATAGCATTATGTAAAGTTGGGATGAGTTGTCTTTTATCTTGGGATGAGTTGTCTTCTAACTTGGGATGAGTTGTCTTCTAACTTGGGATGAGTTGTCTTATATTGGGATGAGTTGTCTTTCAGATGAGTTGTCTGTATACCTTATCACCATGTATAACAGTCCAAAAATGATTAAAATCGATCAATACTAGCGTAAGTTATGGTCGAATTACTTTGTAATGATTACATAAATGATTACATGATTACATTATTTACCTCAAAAGATGAAGAGCATCATCTTCATCAATCAGATCATCCATAACAACACGACCACATGTTTTAGGTTTACATGCTGAAATATAAAATATCAGTCCATTAAACTGATCTCAATGGGTTTCTTTTTCGTCTAATCCAACAGAATGAAGTTACTAAAACCAGGAAATAAATAAACTTGATAACTATTTAGTAATGTAAACTCTGTTTGAATAACATGAAATTAAATAGTCGCTACTATGGTGTCGATCTTGTCGAATGAGTGCTGAGATTGGTTGTATTACCACAATATTTTAGAATACTTTTGCATATTCTACAAACAACTTTCGTTGTGTCACCTTTTAAAAACCCAAAGTTTTCACAAACTTTAGATTTATATTTCGCTGGAGGATTTGTTATTGCGACTGTGTTTTCCACCATTTTGATTTTTACTATCTATTATATTTACGTTTTAAATTTATAAAATTCTAGAGTAAAATGTTGTTTTATGTATTTAAATATGTATGTTTTATTAACTAAGCCTATAACAAACTTTAAAATTCGGAAACAAAACGAAAAGGCCTTTAAAATGTTGTTAATCTAAACCTAAGAAACTAACACTGCAAAATCATGGTCGACCTTTTGGCTAAAGAGAGAGAGAAATGAGATTTAAAGTCCATTCGACACAAACTAGGTCATTTCGGGACTAACATATGGTTCAATTTTATTTTAATAATTCGCTTCCTTGTATGAATATTTAACAGTGGGAGTAAACCGGAGGACCCAGAGAAAACCCACAAGGTTGGACAGGCGATCCTACTACTTGTCACGTACAACTGGGGAATCAAAACCACTCCGGTTTGCTCCCACTGTTAAAAACCCCTACACACAAGTGAATTATTGGAATAAAATTGATCTATGTGTTAGTCTCGAAATGACCTAGTTTGTGTCAAGTGGACGTTAAACCCATCTCTCTATCACTCTCTCTGATTCACTCACTTACACAAGTGGAGTTAAACCCCATCTCTCTATCTTTCTCTCTCTCTCTCACTCACTCACACACACTAAATATTACATCCCTGCTAAGTTCTAACAATTAATCAACAACAAACCTTCAAATTTTTCTAGCTGGTAATCATTAGAACATGGAAGTTGATAGAAGGATCTTTTAACTTTACTTGTTGCTGGTACTAGTGTTTCAAACTCATTCTCATCTCTATATATTAGATAGATAAACAGTGCAAGGGAGACAACTACACTTAAGCCTGCACCTAGATAAAACACTGATGATGACACAACACAGGTTGAATGTTTCTGTTTCTTTGCTTTTGTTTTGTCATCTGTTAAGTTCTCAATATTCCTTAAAGGTAAAAATATCTCAAAATAAAACAACAAAATTTCAACAGATTTATGGCAATAAATTCTCGTAAAAGGAGGTAATTTGCTTGAATAAAAGGTTTATCTCTCTCACCAAGAAATAAATTATACATGAACTGGTTGTAAGTAATCTTTAGTCTTACCTAATATCAAAACATAGATAGACATACTTTGATTAACACACAAATCCGCAAAATGACTCAAATTTTACATTTTTCACTAAAATTTTTAACAATGTATATATTTTTTCAAACATGGGTAAATTTGCAATGTGCACACTGTACACCTTAACAATGGCTCGTCAGATTTGTCTCAAATTTTGTTAGTCTAATATTTTTTTTTTTTTTTTTTTTTTAAACAATATTTTTATTCATTAAATCTGAATTATGAAACATAACCGATGCAGCGGTTTAGTCAAATTGAAGAAAAAAACAAAAAAGCACTACAAAATCACGACAAGATGGCTAATAGTAAGTGCAGGAAGACCGCACTACTATGTCAAGGCTACGAATGTTATAAAATGTTATTATTTTAACCTTTTTGTAACTGTATTTCTTTTTCTACCACTCATTATTCTGTCGTTGACATAAGTTGGTTCAGTGCTTGATGAAGTTGATATAAATCATTATCATAACTTAAAAATGAAATCCATACAAATTTGCGGTCTAATCCAATTGAAGAGTGATAACTTTGTTGAACTTATTGTTGATGAAAAACATATATTCAGAACAGACAGGCTCAGCAGAACGGCTAGCAGCTGAAACATCCGAAACTACAAAAACTTTGTTTTTCCAAAGAAATGACTGTCCTTATTTTTGATGTTTTGTTTTCGATATCGACTGTTTTCTGCATTGACAACTGTAATAAACTAATTGTCGTAATAAAATTGATTTTCAAGAAACAATATTCTACATAGATTGTACCGTGGTTTACTAATAAAGATAGTATTTTCTCTGAAATAATATTATTTGTTTACGTCGGCGACTCGGCTCTTTGACACCGGAAATACACGTGTATTATAAGTCTTACTAAATAGAGTTGTCTCCCTTCAACCTTCCGTAGATTTGTGATTGTTTTTGTTTGTTTTTTTAAGCTGGGAGAAAGGGCGGCAAGTGGGAGCTTTGTCTGCATTGATACTTGTAGGTATTTTTAGTAGACGAGGGAAAGACCATACAACATTGACAGTTGTACGTTAAAACAGATGCGCGAGGCGCTATTGCACTTTCGTACCTCTACCAGTTCCCGTGGTCGTAGGTACTTGAAATTTTCAGAGGGTGTTAAGGGGGACTAGCAATGACTTGTTATTCGAGTCTAAATAGTGAACAAAGCAAATGGCGTCAAACGGATGAAGTTCTCTCTCGTTAGAAATTAAAAGGTCGGTAAAATAAAAAGCTACTGATCGATTCGGCTGAAATTTGGTGTGTGGTCATTGCTAGCCCCCCTTAACATGCTCTGAAAATTTCAAGTACCTACGACTACGGGAACTGGTAGAGGTACGAAAGTGCAATAGCCCCCGCGAAGCCTCCTTTTTTTGTGTTTCTCATGTCCCATTTCTATAGATCAGACGAATGAGACTATGCAAATCCTGGGGTCGGGAAGGTTTTCTTTACGAACCCGATTACAATCCTACTTAAGGTACTAAACTTAGGCTTTCACTATATTTTTATCTTTACTTTTTTTCGATAGAATTGTTTTATTTCAATATTTGTATAATAAAAGTCAAAATTACACTGTTAGTTTTTGGAATTATATATACCATTCAAAAAAAGTAGGGGATATTTGATTTTGGGGGCATAATACTAAAATATGCAAATGACTACGAAAAAAGTCACTATAGAACCTAACAGAAGAAACATTTCCAGTAACATGTGACGCCCAAACGCACCAATAGCTACCGCATGGAATGCAGGTGATGCTTGGGATCATCATGGGTGTCCAACCCAAGATTTGCACGACTCTGACTTTGAATGTTACAGTCATTGTGGCATTGAATTCCAGGGTGGAAACATCAGTTTAATTGTTTTAGTGACCAGAAAACAAATTTTGATATGCGTCGGCTTACCCAAAATGAAAGGTTATGTGCCCTTGGCATGCTACAGATCGGCACAACACAGGCGGTTGTGGCGCGGACGATGAATGTTTCTCAGTCTGTCATAAGCAGGCTATGGTCCAGATACCGTGATACACAATCTGTACAGGACAGACCACGCTCAGGTCGACCAAGGGCGACAACTCAAGCCCAGGATCGATTTATCCGTACCTTGGCCTTGAGAAATCGTGTCATCACAGCAAATCAGATCAGCGCTCGTCTTCAAACAGACACTGGTGTGAGAGTGAGTGGCCAGAAGATTCGGAATCGACTGCATAGGGGTCACCTTCGCGCCCGACGTCCTCGCGTGATCCCTTGTTTGAGAGATCATCACATTCAGGCAAGACGTCGTTGGTGTAGGGATCGTCAACACTGGGATAATCGACGCTGGAGCAATGTGATGTTTTCAGATGAGTCAAGGTTCACCGTTGATTTTTTGGACAGACGTACATGTAGGAGGGTGTGGCGTCGTCGAAACGAGCGCTTCCAAGACGTTAACGTCATCAGACATGATCGATTTGGGGGTGGTTCTGTTATGGTGTGGGGAGGCATCACTGTTGCTGGAAGAACGGCTTTACATGTTGGCGCAGGGCGTGTTACAGGCCAGTACTACCGGGACAACATCTTGGCAGTCCATGTTGTGCCGTTCGCACGACGTCATGGCCGCCGTTTCATCTTCCAGGATGACAACGCAAGATGTCACAGGGCCAGGATCGTTACAGGTTACCTCCAACAACAGAACATCACCACATTACCTTGGCCAGCACTGAGTCCCGACCTCTCCCCCATCGAGCATGTCTGGGACATGCTTGGACAGAGGTTACGTCAACGTCAACAACGTCCTGCCAATGTCCAAGAACTTGCTGGTGCGTTGCAACAGGAATGGGACAATCTGGACCAAAATGACCTTAGACGTCTCATTAGGAGTATGCCACGTCGGATCAATGCTTGTTTGGCAAACAGAGGAGGATTTACCCGTTACTGACTTGGTTGTGATGCTGTGGTAACTTTGCTGTTTGACCCCGGGTATCATTTTACCCTTATAATTGTCAGTCTGTGCCTTACTTAGTCTAACGATCATTTGGAATAAATCGATGAATGTGAACTTCATTTCATTTTGTCATTTGTTTCTTCGTCAGTTTCATTAGGTGACTTTAATAACACTTAAAAATCAAATATCCCCTACTCTCCAAAAACATTTTAGATTTTTAAAAAAATTTTTTTAATTAAATTTATCCTACCTTACACTTACAGGTTTCAAGAGAAAGTTGAAATGGCTAAAACAAGGAACAAATCAAGTAAATCAACAACAGGGGCAGACAAACCGAAACCCACAATAAAAAAACAGAAAGAAAAAGTTGTCAAGAAAACCGAAATAAAGAAAAAGACTAAAGCTGCCATTGATGACATGAAAAATGAAGAAACTTCGAAAGCTTCACCTAAACATTATCCTAAATTGATTGATGAGGATACAAATTTTGAGGTAGGCCAGAGATTTTTGATCTTGGTGTAACAAGGCTTATTTCCTTGCGAATCACACAAATTATCTTGTAAATACATGTAATTTAGACATCAACTTTCAATTGAAGGAAAAATTATGCTAACAAGCAAGCCTGGAAATAAGGCACCTGTCTGTGACAATTATGTCAGGCACAGATTCAGGCACATAATCTCTGGTGCCAGTCATTTGGTCCGGCACTGATTTGTGTTTTTTATTGATATTAATACATGTCCGGCACTAAGTTGAAATTGTCAGGTACTATTTCATCAATCACGTAGCAAATTAGTGCCAGACATTTTGTAAGATACATCTAAAACCGTTATTTCCAGGCCTGCTAACAAGGCACGCCACTGTTGCATACAGAGGTTTCATCTTCATTGGTCTAGGAAGGCATGGCTCGAAATGTTCGCCTGTCTACTTGTCGCCGACAGGCGATTTTTTCGTCTGACAGGTAGCAAATAAAACTACCTGTCGCAAGCGACAGGTGGACTCAATTTTACTTGATGTTCAGTAAATTGACCACAATACTCACGTCCACGTCACGTACATTTAATTATTTGTTTCTAAATGCAAGAAGTAAGAACAGAAATACAGCGAAAAGCCGCCATTTGCAGTGTTTACATTTCGCTCTGTCGTAGGCTACAGTTACTCACACAGTTTGGAAGTAGACAATTTTATATCAATGAATTTCACACCATCTACGCTTGTTTTCATCTGCTTGACACTAGTTTATAGCATTATGGAGTATTGTATCTAAAAAAAATTAAAACGCACCCCCAAGTCACCTGAAATAATTCTACCGTAACGACACCACAGTAAATATAGTAGTGGTTGGAATGGAAATGCACACGGCTCGTTGCTTGGTGTATTTAATCATTTAAAAAGTTTTAAACAATTTCCATAAATAAAGGCTATGAATAATTTATAAGACAATTTGACAAAATCAAAAAATCAGGTCGGAAAAATATTTCATATATAAATATAATTTGTAGCGTAAATATAGCCCGGATATGTGAGAAGGGAATTCCAGGTGGCGTTATCTGTCCTTCGCACGCGGTACATGTAAATACGATGCCATGCACAGGTGTGATTTATGTTTTGATATTCAATTTATTACGGATATTTTAAAATCTGAATTCTACAACTCAACTGTGAAGTATTTGATTTAGTACGGAAGTGGGGTACCATGATACTTTGCGGAATTCACGTGGATACGGATGATAGAATTGTACGAATCTTCGAGTCGCTGAGCCAAAGCAGATTTGCCGACTTTCAAGAACTTTTAGGCAATCCGATGTCGAAGAAATAAAATGGTTTCATATTACGATATTTATATAGAGCAATGTAGGTCAAAGACCTAACCACGTGTGTGTGTACCTACATGTATGGATATGTGTGATGTGATTAGTCTTTGAGTTTGATAATTGAGAGTGACAGGTTATTTACTGAAGCGACAGGTATGAAGAAAAGCTACCTGTCGCAAGCGACAGGTAGCTTTTTTTAAACATTTCGAGGCCTGGAAAGGCCAAGGAAAAGGGTCGGTAGGTCAGATTTTTTGGGGTTTTTTTTAAGATTTTTTTTTTTATTTTTGCAACAGCTTGATCCTTTTCCGGGTAGAAAGGTTTATCTTCTTTACTTGTGGGTGCACAAATCAATACCGATGACATGGATATCAGAATGTTTAGCATGTGCACGTTGAACCATAAGGTCTGTCATTGAGTCAACTGGCATGTTTTCGATTCCTCGGCTGTACATGACAAGGAGGAGGGTCACCTGTCCAACCTCATGGGTTTTCTCCGGATCCTCCGGTTTCCTCCCACTGCTAAAGACCCATACGTGCAAGCAAATTACTGAAATGAAATTGAACCATGTGTTAGTCCTGAAATGACCTAGTTTGTATCAAGTGGACATTAAACCTCATTTCTCGTTCTCGCTCTTGCTAAAGCAGGAAGAAATTTTGATTATGTATAAAATTTTATATTTTAGTCTCCAGATAAACTGGTATTTACAGCCAAACCATGCACGAGAAATAACAAGGGGGAACTAATATTTGAAGATTTTAAGGAATTCCGTCCGAATCTGACCCCAAAAGAAGTTTTACAGGCTGGTAGTTTTGGTGGTACTTATTTCCGTCCAATCAAATCTAGTGTTACAGGTAGGTTTCTGTCCACACAAATATCATCCATCTTGGATTTAGGGAGAGAGAAACAGTGTTTAACAACTACTCGACGCAAACTACGTCATTTCGTGACTAATATATCATTCAATTTTTTTTCAATTCACTTGGGTATTGGGGTCTTTGTGGGAGGAAACTGATGGACCCAGACCCATACCAGAGATACATGTAACAAAAGAGTTTGGACATGCAACCCAACTCCTTGTCACATATAAGTGGGGCATTGAAACCACCATTCTCACTTAAACATACATTATGCAAGAGATAAATCTGCCTATTGCAGGTCTTTCTTATCTAAATTATTAATTAGACCATAATCAACTCTAGATGGCATTGCTAGCCTGCGATCTTAAGTGGATTATGAGCCGATTTACTGCATAACTTTCCTTCATGATTAAACGATTAAATTGATACACAAGACTATGCTGTTTATCGTACTGACTTTAGTAATGATGATAGAGGCTAGGCAGAAATTTCAAACGCTTAGTTCTCAGTTCATAGTGGATCAATTTGAATGAAATTTTCAGCAAATTGCCTTTACATTATTTAGTTTTTAACTATTATAGGGCGAACTGCCAGCTCGTTATCGAGTCTCCCATAATGTATCTTTAATGTTTATTATTATTTATGTAATAAACTATTGTTATTTTATTATCAGGTAAAAAGTATTCATCTGAAGTTTGGAAAGAATTACCCAGTGATTGGTTAAAAGGCTTAAATATTGGTTCTCAGGTATAATTTACATTGACTGATTTTTACCCTTTCAGTGCAGTTATATAAAAGAAATCATAATATTTGATAATGATAAAAACATTATAAAAATATCATAAATTTTGATAAGAAACAACATAAAATAATCACAAAATTTGATTGTAAAATATCATAAAATTCCACAAGAAGCCTTCATAAAAAGTCAGTGTACGGTCCGTGTGGTCTATCTGGTTGTCACTAGCATTTACTTCTCCTGTTGTGGACAGTTTACTTGGTGTTGCTGGTGATGAAATGAAATGGGGTTAAAGGTTCTACTGTTCTGCTCTGACTTGGCTAATGAAGACGGGCATACGCCATACAGTGTGCTAGGAGAAAAATTTTGCCCGGACAACGGCACTACTCTTATATCAAATTCCAACTGCCTAGGGATCTTTTACGCACACCTCAATGTGTACACAGGAACTCGGTTTTTCGTCCCATCCAAATGACTGTACATTTCCCTTGCCAGACCCTTCGTCCTGCATCACTGACAAGAAGGAACCTAGCTCGAAAATCCTGATGAACTTTATCGGCCAGTGCAGGAACCTCCAGGTTAGCGAACCAATGCCCTACTGACTGAGTCACCGTGGTTCCCTGTGTTACAGTACCATACAAATGCAATCGTGGTTTGTGTTTTCGTGGCTTCTTGTAGACAGTTGTAATAATGGTTCTCATGAATTATCACGTGTAAATATCTAAAAAAAATATGTTGAATGTTAACATTTCTCATTTACCCAAAAAGCATGTTGGAACATAAGGTCAGGCATTGCGTCAAATGGCGTGGTTTTGAGTCCCCGCTTGCACATGACAAAGTGTTGGGTCGTATGTCCAACCTTGTGGATTTTCTCCAGGGCCTCCTATCCTTTTTCCTCACACTGCTAAAGACCCCTACACAAGCAAATTATTGAAATAACATAGAACCATATGTTAGTCCCGAAATAACCTAGTTTGTATCAAGTTGACGTTAAACCAACTTTCTCTGATTTCCCCATATACGTTGAATTTTATAGAGCCACTGTCTGGGCAAAATTATCACCCCTTCGTTGCATGTTGTCCCAATCCAAAAAATACAATCAGGTGAAAATGGGGATCAGACTGCATCAGAAAATATTTCAACCAACCATGACAGCTGAAACAAATTCGTTGTGATTAATTTTCGCGATTCTACTCACACCACCACCATTGTCAGAACTGAAAAAAGTGGCAGGACTGAATTCCATGTCTCTCGATTTCATTCAGGATGTTGTGGACAGACAATCGAACATCCTCGAAACCTTGGTAAATGATACAGGGTTTTAACCCTTGGCAACTTGTTCGCATCCATGAAATCAAATGGGGTTTAATGTCCTACTGTTATGTTCCGAACTGGGCTCATGAAGACAGTTTTCCGCTCAAAATATATATCGTAGGTTGTGTGTAGTAAATATTTTATATATTATAACAGTAGATCGCTTGTAGTAAATATGATAATCGGTTAATAGATATGATATGTTTTATAACAACAGGTTGTGTGTTGTAAATATGATATGGTTTATAACAACAGGTTGCGTGTTGTAAATATGATATGGTTTATAACAATAGGTAGCATGTAGTAACGTGTAGTAAATATAGTATGTTTTATAACAATAGGTAGCGTGTAGTAAATATGATGAGTCCGTGAATAAATATGGTGTAAAATGTGGAGGTAGCCTGGAGATGTGGGAGACGTCTGGTTGGATACATAAACAGGATCCATATGGTTGGTTCCAATGGTATTGTAGGTAGGTATAATATATATAGGTTATATACTATTCAAAAAAAGTAGGGGATATTTGATTTTTAAGTGTTATTAAAGTCACCTAATGAAACTGACGAAGAAACAAATGACAAAATGAAATGAAGTTCACATTCATCGATTTATTCCAAATGATCGTTAGACTAAGTAAGGCACAGACTGACCATTATAAGGGTAAAATGATACCCGGGGTCAAACAGCAAAGTTACCACAGCATCACAACCAAGTCAGTAACGGGTAAATCCTCCTCTGTTTGCCAAACAAGCATTGATCCGACGTGGCATACTCCTAATGAGACGTCTAAGGTCATTTTGGTCCAGATTGTCCCATTCCTGTTGCAACGCAGCAGCAAGTTCTTGGACATTGGCAGGACGTCCAAGCATGTCCCAGACATGCTCGATGGGGGAGAGGTCGGGACTCAGTGCTGGCCAAGGTAATGTGGTGATGTTCTGTTGTTGGAGGTAACCTGTAACGATCCTGGCCCTGTGACATCTTGCGTTGTCATCCTGGAAGATGAAACGGCGGCCATGACGTCGTGCGAACGGCACAACATGGACTGCCAAGATGTTGTCCCGGTAGTACTGGCCTGTAACACGCCCTGCAACAACATGTAAAGCCGTTCTTCCAGCAACAGTGATGCCTCCCCACACCATAACAGAACCACCCCCAAATCGATCATGTCTGATGACGTTAACGTCTTGGAAGCGCTCGTTTCGACGACGCCACACCCTCCTACGTCTGTCCAAAAAATCAACAGTGAACCTTGACTCATCTGAAAACATCACATTGCTCCAGCGTCAATTATCCCAGTGTTGACAATCCCTACACCAACGACGTCTTGCCTGAATGTGATGATCTCTCAAACAAGGGATCACGCGAGGACGTCGGGCGCGAAGGTGACCCCTATGCAGTCGATTCCGAATCGTCTGGCCACTCACTCTCACACCAGTGTCTGTTTGAAGACGAGCGCTGATCTGATTTGCTGTGATGACACGATTTCTCAAGGCCAAGGTACGGATAAATCGATCCTGGGCTTGAGTTGTCGCCCTTGGTCGACCTGAGCGTGGTCTGTCCTGTACAGATTGTGTATCACGGTATCTGGACCATAGCCTGCTTATGACAGACTGAGAAACATTCATCGTCCGCGCCACAACCGCCTGTGTTGTGCCGATCTGTAGCATGCCAAGGGCATGTAACCTTTCATTTTGGGCAAGCCGACGCATATCAAAATTTGTTTTCTGGTCACTAAAACAATTAAACTGATGTTTCCACCCTGGAATTCAATGCCACAATGACTGTAACATTCAAAGTCAGAGTCGTGCAAATCTTGGGTTGGACCCCCATGATGATCCCAAGCATCACATGCATTCCATGCGGTAGCTATTGGTGCGTTTGGGCGTCACATGCAACTGGAAATGTTTCTTCTGTTAGGTTCTATAGTGACTTTTTTCGTAGTCATTTGCATATTTTAGTATTATGGCCCCAAAATCAAATATCCCCTACTTTTTTTGAATAGTATATATTCAAGAGAATAAGGATGTTGTTTTTATTCTATGACTACATGCAAATCTCAGAATACACTGTTCTGTACAGATTATCAATAACAAAATCACCAATAACGTTAAAATTCATCAGAGGTTCCGCCCTTTTTCCTTTCTTTTTTCTTACAAAAATTGTGGTTGCTAGTGTTGACGTCATTACAGTTTGACGTAATTCTGAAAATGACGTCATTCTGGACAAAATTAGTACGTGTCCAAGCTATTGAATACAACCATAGGTTGTTCAATGACTGTATTCAATGATATTTGCTTGTATTCAATGATATTTGCATGTATTCAATGATATTTGCATGTAGGTATATTATATAAACATCATCCTTATCAATGATTAGTAGTTATCTCTTTACTCTGAGGCTTTTTTTAATTACTACTGTTGACTATATATTATATAAACAACATCCTTATCAATGATTAGTAGTTATTCCTTTACTCTGAGGCTTTTTTAATTTCTGTTGTTGTCTATTGAATAGAATGCAACAATTTCATGTCAGCGCAATAGTAATCAGTACTTGATAAGTTCATTTTTAGTGTTGAGATAATTGTTGAACTCTTGACATTCACTATTCCATTTCAATATCTCCTCTCGTTCGGCATAAAAGCTCAAAGCCGGGACGAACCCGCCATAATCTAGATATTCGGATTTAAGGAATGTATAAGAAAATATACCCTTCATGACACTGAGGTCCAGTGGTATGCATGTTTCAGAATCCTCGACAGTTTGAATTCAAGAACCGTCATAGCAGACACAGTGAACTATACTTCATGGATTATGATCATCTTGATTAGTTCAGTGTCTGTCATAATATCAAAATGTCTGTAGAGTGTTCACAAAAAATTGTGCATGATAGACGACAATATACGACTACATGTGGGTGTATAAAATGGTAACATATTCAGGGAAAGTAAAAACTAACATTTGATTTCACAATTTCAGATTTTATCAAGGAAGACGAACCCCAGATGATGAAAGACAGATTGGTCGCTGGTTGCGATGTGCGGGAAAGACAGGAAGATGGAAGAATAATTTGATCTCTAAATGTGTTAATAGTGGATGTGGGTATGATAATATAGGGGTATCCCCGGTCGTACGACAGACCTTATTACACTGGGGTTATAGTTTAACAAAAGAAGACTTCGACACAGAAGCTAAACGTTTAAAACGGAAAAAATAACATCCATTGTGATTTAGACAGAGAAGTGGTGGTTAACATCCACTCGACACAAACTAGATCATTTTTGGGACTAACATATGGTTTGATTTTATTTCAATACTATTAAGGCCCAAGAGAGATATAAATGGTGTTTAACGTCCACTTAACACATTTTGGGACCAACATGGTTTAGTAGTAATGTAGTTGTTGTCAAACACAATTTTGGGATGAAAACAACACTGAATCAATGAAAGACCTTATGATCTAAAGTGTACTTCAATTTGTAATTTGTATGTCAATATGCTTGTCAGGAAATGGGGGGGGGGGGTCATGATGGCTCAGTGGGTAAGACGCCGGCTCGCTAGCTTGGAGGTCAGGTGTTCAATCCCTGCATTGGCCGAGAAACTTCTTCCAGATTTTCCGGCATGGTAAAAGATCCCTTGACTGTTCAAATTTGATATAAGAGTAGGCCGTAGCGCCGCCTTCCGGGCAAAATTTCCCTCATAGCACAGCGTATGGCGTATGCCCTTCTTCATTAGCCTAGTTGGAGTAGGACATTAGGACATTAAACCCAATTTCATTTCATTTGCCAGGATATTCTTATAATTTCCTCATGTTAATGGAAATTCTGATTAGTAATCAATTAGATGGGTGTGGTCTAAACAATTCTAATAAATTAATGCTCATCTTTGTTTTAATAATATTTATAATGAAAGGCAGCATGGATTATTGATATTGTATATTTCATACATGAATTTACACCATTTTATTATACATGCAATATTATTATAGTCTTTTATTAAATTGTATAATATTAAATATAGAAAATAAATGTTACTCCTAAGACTTTTTTTTATTTTTAAATTGGTTCCTTTTTCAGATGAACAACAGGATTTTAATCAAAACTTTTGACAGTAAGATACTAACAACAATCATGTGAGGGTTATGGTATAAAATATCTGACCTCTCCCAGGCCTCTGATGGCTGAAATATCTGACCTCTCCCATGCCTCTGATGGTCTAAAATATCAGATCTCTCCCTAGCCTCTGATAGTCAGAAATATCCGACCTCATATAGTGTGATATATATGACCCCACCCGGGCCTCTGATAGTCCTAAATATATGACCTCTCCCTAACCTCTGATAGTTTTAAATATCAGACCTCTCACTAGCATCCGATGGTCAAAAATATCAGACCTCTCCTTAGCCTCTAATGTTCTGTAATATCTGCACTCTCCCTAGCCTCTGATAGTTTGAAATATCTGATGGTCAAAAATATCAGAACTCTGATGTTCTGCAATATCTGGCCCCTGATAGTCGTTTGTGAGTGTTATTTAGAACTAGAGAGATCTTTAAAGCGAGAATTTCATATTTTCTAAGAAAGTCAAAACATAATTATTTCTGTCTTTTGCTCAATAGGATGTCAACTCACTATTATATGATCATAGGTATCATTCTCACACTTAAAAATCATTCACACCGGAAATAACACAATTACCTCCCTTGTTTTTCTATTCCCCCCCCCCCCCCCCCAATGGAATAGCTATCTGCAAATGTTTGAATTTGAAATTGAAAATAATATTTTTGCCAATTTCTCAACTGGCAATAGGGAATTATAGGATTAATAGGATTATTCTTTAACAAGGTAGGACTGTTTATAGATACCATCTATTTTAAGGCTTTATTTTAATACATTTTAAAAATATAACTTAAAAATATGAAATTCTCGCTTTAAAGATGAACAGCAATCAACTTTATTATAAATAAATTGTGTGGAAACCTGAGATCAAACCATTGACCTCCAGGTTAGTAAACCAGTGCTACGCTCGCTTGCTGGTTTATCCTATCCATGTTTGCTTTCCTATCGGTTCTTGCATTAGATTTACTGTTTAGCGTATCTTTGCTTTAGTGTGTTATGTTTAATTTGATCGGGAGACGTGTTCGTCGATGTCAAAGTCAACCGACAACACTGCAAGAACTGGCCGTGGCACTGCAAGAAAAGTGGGTCAGATTGCCCCAAATCGTGATTGGACGGTTGATTAGGAGCATGCTACGACGAATGCTGAATGTCTGAGGATTGGTGCAGCAATCACTCACTATGGGTTCCCAGAAAAGTATTTATCGGGTGGTTATTTCCAATAAAAGTATGGTAATTTTGGTATATATGGAAAGTAGAGATATCCAATTTTACTAGATAAATACTGGATTCCCCGAAAACACTCATGGAGCTTATACAGGACAAAAGTGTAAGGGTTCTCCTAATCGACTGCCCAACGATTAGCAATTTCTGCATTGAGCGCTTGATGTACTAGTTGATAAACTTTATGAAGAGTTAGACGGAAAAAGACGCGGGTAGTGGATAATCAGAGAATTTAATTAGGATTCGATATTTGTAATAAATAGTAAGCGATTAAAGACAACATCGTCTTATGTATGCAATGAATTCTCCTCTGACTTCCGAGAGAGGTACATGTAAGTCACATGACATAAACATGACCTGGTTTGATCGAATTTTTATAGCAGGGCATTCCTTGGCAATAACAATGGTTGAGAAGGATCTGAAGCATAATTATGACAAATTAATTAGTTTGAATATGTTTTTGGTCCATATATACCATTAAATCACTCAGATTGTACGCGGCAATTAAGACAAAAATCAAAAACGTCCATTTTCACTTTTGATGGTGTACCTCTTTGTGATCAGCTGCCTATATGAACTGTTTATGTTCCTATGTAGGCATTTAACATACACTGGTTACCTCTAATAAAATCAGCAGTGCATTTCCGCAGTTTTGTATTGTTTCTGAATATTCCCTACTTTTTTTGAAGAGTATTTTTGGAACATGAAGGTTCTAACACTTCTCTGTATATCCCCTACTTTTTTTGAAGAGTATATTTGGAACATGAAGGTTCTAACACTTCTCTGTATATCCGTGCTTGAGAGGGGTATTTATAGCAATATACAATCAATACAATATATACATCACAATACTAATACTGAGTATAAAAGATGTTTATCATACAGCTTGGTTAATACATATAACAAAAAAATAAACAAAATATATTAGACAGTAATACAACAATGTTCTATACATCCTTACAGCATTGGATGTATACATAGAGAAAAATGGGGTTTAATGTCCACTCAACACAAACTTGGTCATATTGGGACTAACATACAGTACAATTTTATTTCAATATATTTAGTAGAGGGAGGAAACCGGAGAACCTACAAGGTTAGAGGTAATCAACAAGATGTATTTATAATCAGGAACTACCAATATAGGAAGGAACTGGACAAGCGACCCTAATCCTTGCCACATACATAGCATACCTATAGAAGATAACAAATGTCATAACTGCCAAATTGAACATACATATAAACACTGGCGGCCACCAGCATATTTGTTTATGGGGAGGATCCATAGGGGAGGCGATGGCTCTCGAGTACTCATAAAGCCAGACCTGGTGGTGGGATGATTGCAGAATAATAAGTGAATTTTTATACATTTATCAAGGAGGGATTGGGGGCATTGCATATAAAACATTATAAAATGTAATAATTGTCATTTTTTTTCACTGCGTACATAATAAGTTGTAGCAAATATTAATATGCTGATTACTGTAAAAATGGAAAATAAAAATTAAGTTATAATATTTGACCAATCTGATTAAAACACAGATCCTATTTTGTTTCGTTTTTTTATAGTTCAAAATTTCGCTTTACTTGTCTTTACTACACTAGGATCTGGAAGAGATGTTATCATTGACGTGTTCTGGATGATGTGATCGATTAGCCAATGAAAAGGTCTGTTACTGCGAGCCTTTGGCATGTGGTGCACGGAACTGTGGGTAATACACTAGAAACGTCAATGCTGATTGGTTAAAAGTCGCTCGTATGACCTCTGATGCGGCCCTCCACTACAACTGTTAAGAACTTCATGTAGTGTAGGCCATCAAAAGTATAAAAAAAAAACGAAACGAAATATAGATCTGTATTTTAATTAGATCAATATTGGACAAACAGAATTTTGGGTGATTTCACAGATTAAACATACAAAACTGTTTAATATACCGTATTTACATAATAAAAAACAATATATATACATTGTATACTTGATTACTGATTAAAGAGGCATCATCACTTTATAATTGATTTTGAATAATATCATATTAAAAATGAAACTAGACTCCCTTAAAGATACATTATGTAAGATTTAGATAAAGAGCTAGCCATTCTTGCTATAATAGTTCGAAAAAAGATAATGTAAAATGAATAATTTGAGAATTTCATTCAAATTACTCTATTGCGAGCGACGATATTAGCCTTTGAAGGTTCGACAAGACGCGTGCAATTATTTCAACCACCGTACTGGTTGTTCGAAGCTAAGCCTCGCTCCTCCATTTTTAGCTTAAATGAAAATATGGCTGACAGTTCTAATCTATTTAATATCGGAGAAATCTGATGCCATCGAGAGTTGATTATTGCCTGGATAAGTTAATTAATGTCTAATTAATAATTTAGATAACATTTCAGGCCTAAAGAAAGATCTGCAATAGACAGATTTAGCTCTTGCATAATGTATGTTTAATTATCAAAAATTCAAGCACTGATGTATGTTATGTAGAGCATTTGACAAAACTCCTTTATAGTGATATAAAAGAGTCTATTTTTTTTTTAGCAATTTGTCTCAAATTCTACATGCAATCTGATTTGTACAGCCCTGATGTGATTGTGTAGTAAGTTAATTCACTTTAAATATAAAGTTATTACATGTGTTTTACCAATGGCAAATGCCTCTTTAAACAGACCGAAATTGCGGTTTAGTAAATTTACTTATTTTCATCCAACATGGATCGTAAATCAAGTTTACTTTTTCTTCTTCAAAGCCTCAAATCGTCTCGCTAAATCATCAAAATTAACGTCATCACCACCAGCAGAAGTACCTCCAACAGAATTTCCGACGTCCGGTAAGGTATTGTTTGGTACTGCAGGTAATTCTGGGAACATGTCCGGTCGGAAGCCTGCAGGGGCTGGGGGTTGTGCCGGTTGATTCTGACCAGCGTTGTTATACACATGATTGGGAGCTTGTGGCTCCTGGTAGAGGGTGTGATAGACATTTTCTGATGTAGCTGGAGGGTTGTTTGGTAATGGTGGTGGTACTTTATTTGTGGGAGGATAACTCTATCAAAGAAAAGAGATAATATAATTCACATGCCCGGTAAATGGTTTCCATGACAATTAGTAATGGAGCAGGACACAGTTGATTACATAATTACCAAATCAATCGTGATGAGTAATAGCAATATACCCAGAACAGTCAAAATTCTTGGAAATTTGAATATTATTCACCATATCTTGATGACCAATTGGGCATATTCCAGGTCAGACATTTGGAAAACATCGGAGGACATGTCCGACATATACATGTATGGGCGAAATAGCATCGATGGTATGGAATACAATTTATTACTGAGCAACAGAAATTAAACAGGGAATATACATTACACAATCGGGAATAGCATTACACAATTGGAAATAGCATCACACAATTGTGTAGAGCATTACACACTTTGGTAGAGCATTACACAATTGGGTATAGCATTACACAATTGGGTAAAGCATTACACAATTGGGTATAGCATACAATCACTGTCTAATACTGAGAGGTATTTAGTAATAGAACTTGAACTACACAATTACAATTTATTACTAAAGATGCCAAGTAGGAACATCACTCAATAATTCTGGGAACATGTCCGGTCGGAAGCCTGCAGGGGCTTGGGGTTGTGCCGGTTGATTCTGACCAGCGTTGTTATACACATGATTGGGAGCTTGTGGCTCCTGGTAGAGGGTGTGATAGACATTTTCTGATGTAGCTGGAGGGTTGTTTGGTAATGGTGGTGGTACTTTATTTGTGGGAGGATAACTCTATCAAAGAAAAGAGATAATATAATTCACATGCCCGGTAAATGGTTTCCATGACAATTAGTAATGGAGCAGGACACAGTTGATTACATAATTACCAAATCAATCGTGATGAGTAATAGCAATATACCCAGAACAGTCAAAATTCTTGGAAATTTGAATATTATTCACCATATCTTGATGACCAATTGGGCATATTCCAGGTCAGACATTTGGAAAACATCGGAGGACATGTCCGACATATACATGTATGGGCGAAATAGCATCGATGGTATGGAATACAATTTATTACTGAGCAACAGAAATTAAACAGGGAATATACATTACACAATCGGGAATAGCATTACACAATTGGAAATAGCATCACACAATTGTGTAGAGCATTACACACTTTGGTAGAGCATTACACAATTGGGTATAGCATTACACAATTGGGTAAAGCATTACACAATTGGGTATAGCATACAATCACTGTCTAATACTGAGAGGTATTTAGTAATAGAACTTGAACTACACAATTACAATTTATTACTAAAGATGCCAAGTAGGAACATCACTCAATAATAAACAGTAAATGTATTCCATGGAAGTTCTAGTAAATGTAGGAAGAAAGAGGAAAATACTATCCAGTAAACGGATTTCAAACTTTAGTATTCTATTAGTAGATAATGAATGAAGACAACACAACACACAAACAGACCACACAAATGATACAAAACAAAGTTATCAAAAATAAATTTAAAGAGAGAGAGAGAGAGAGAAATGGGGTTTAATATCCACTCAACACAAACAAGGTCATTTTGGGACTAACATATGGTTCAATTTTATTTCAATAATTTTCTTGAGCGTAGGGGTCTTTAGCAGTGTGAGGAAACCGGAGGACCTGGAGAAAACCCATAAGGTTGAACAGGCGAGTTATCCATATTTTGAGGCGTAACTGTTTCCTTATTACATACATGTACAAACTTGGGATCAGAACCATGCCGCTCATATTAGCCCACTCGACTACCACCCTCACCTATTTCTTTTAATGAGACAGAGAAATTGAATTTAACATCCACTTGACACAAACTAGGCCATTTTGGGACAAACATGTGGTTCATTTTTATTTTGATAACTCGCTTGCATGTCGGGGGTCTTTAGCTGTGGAAAGAAACAGGAGGAAACCCATATCACTGTCACGTACAAGCAGGGAATCAAAACCACTCCCCTTGACTCAATAATAGACTTTATCATCTAACTTATACATGTTAAACCTTTGGGCCACCCAACCCCATATGATTTTTTAAAACAAGTCATCTAAAATGCAGGCCTTGAACCGTAGTAAATTAAAATATGAAATTCATACCATTGGAGATCCATATGGTGGTGGTGCTGAAGCTCCCGCTGAACAACATGAGGAGGGTTGCATGACACCCATGCCCCCACTTGGTCCCCCTCCACCATGATTATTTTTCTTCTCATCCCCTAAATCAATCAGCATATTCTCCGCTGCAAAAATCTCATCCTGTGCCATGACTGACATGTCGGGTTCGAATGGTACATTATATGTTCTGGCTATCTCCACCATGTATCGCTCGATCAGTGTCTTTGGCGGAGCCTGGACGCTCATTTTATGCATCACTTTTTCGTTGACATTATTTAATGCATTTGTTCGACAGGCCTGGCCAAACTCTTTGCCATATTTGGCTGTGAATTCGTCTGCGATTGGTTTGAATTCCTGGACGTCGGACTGAAGTCTTGGTGTTGCCCAGATTAAACTTGCTATCGCTTCCTCTAAACCTGGGTCCAATTCTCTGAGGATAAAAAAATATAAAATGATCATAGACCTGTAGTAATTCTGACAAACACAATAAGCTGAGACAATGATGAAGTCGAAAACCCACGAGTTTGGACTTGCGACCCTACACCTTTCACGTACAAGCGGAAAATTGAAATGAAATGTAATGGCGTTTAATGCCCTACTGTTCTGCTCTGACTGGGCTAATGAAGACGGGCATACATCATACAGTGGTCTAGGAGGGAAATTTTGCCCAGACAGCAGCGCTACGGCATACTCTTACATGTATATCGAACTTGAACTACAAAGCGACCTTTTACAAGCACAACTAGACAGCTGTCCTTGTCAGCCCCACAGTCCTGCATGACTGACAAGGGGAAACCATGACGGACAATCCTGATGAACTTTCTTGACCAACGCTGGGAGCAGTACTGGGAGACAAGAGGAATATGGCGGTATATTAGATTCAAAATTCTAACATGCTATTGTCTAATTTCTAACCTCCGTTCATGTAACTTCTAACCTTAATTCATGTAATTTCTAACCTTAATTCATGTAATTTCTAACTTCAATTCGTGTAATTTCTAAATTAAAACAATGTATAATCCAACTTCTTTATTTGTTCAGTGTAAATTTTAATTCTATTTCATCTTATTTCTATTATTTAGACGAAAAACGTCTTCTTCATTGATTCTTTACACGTTTAGAATTTTTACACTTCTGCCTAGCAACCATCATTATGAAGTCGTTTGGTGTCGCCACTGCGTGCTCATTTGGTTATTGCGCACCTGGTAGGGACCATTATGTTTATATAAACGACTCCCTCTTCGCCTGGTTGGTGATTGGGTGGAGTGATGAGAGAGAGAGGGAGAGAGAGAGAGGGAGAGAGAGAGAGGGGGGGTAACGACCACTCGGCACAAACTAGGTCATTTCTGGACTAACATATGGTTCAATTTATTTCAACAATTCGCTTGCGCGTAGGGGTCTTTAGCAGTGGGAGGAACGGAGAAAACCCATGAGGTTGGACAGACGACCCTACTCCTTGACAAGTTCAACCAGGGAATCGATGGTGAAATTGAAAACAACATCGAACGTGAAATTGTTGGTAAATACTACTTCAAATAAAAGCCAAACAGCATTTTTTTTTTCAATTTTCTTGAAGACAGTTAAGCCATCAATAATATTTACTTACTTTTAATCTGTATTCTATTACCTCTAACAAAAATGATAAACCTTTTCTTGATATGGTTCAATGATATAAATTTAGAAACCTCATACTGTAGGGATGAAACGGCCTTTTCGAAAGTCTGGGATAATCTGTTCATGTGGATAGCGATGGAGTTTTTATTTCTGATTCCTTCATTACACCGACCTGACTAACTTTATGGTAGTTTTTTTTCCAAAAATATTTTATTCAAGTTGCATAAAGCAATACCGAAATTCATAGATAGCAGTTTATCGTCCTACTTTTCTACACCATCCAGGCTAATGAAGACAAACTTATGGTGTGCCATGAGTGAAATTTACAGTCTACTTTTATTACGAATAACAGCTGCAACGGTTTTCGTCAGACCCGAACTACTAGACACTGTATATGCCTACAATAACGGCAACCTCCGCAAATCACAAGGACAGAACTAATAATGTCAGAAATATTATAAAGCGTAGTTTTGCCAGTGTGTATACTAGCTGACGATGTTATATAACCCATAGACATAAAAAAATTTTTATGATATAACCGCCATATTCCGGCGTGGTTATCCGTCCCTTGTTATTGATACAAGACGAGGGTCTGACACGGACAGTGGCTAGTCGTTCGGGTAGTATAAAGAGACATATTTTAGAGCATTAACAGAATAATTTATAGATCAACAGTATATAAATAGTAATTGGCTTAACTGTAAAATAAAAATAAAATAAAATTCTCCAAATCCTGCACTTGTCTTTAAAAAAAATAACAAATGCTGTTTAGCTTATATTTAAAACAGTATTTGCAAACCATATCACGTTCGATGTTGTTTTCAATTTTTACACTCCACCAAACCATTCAATCTGACGAAGAGCGAGTCGTTTGTGGCAACATAATGATCCCGCTCAGTGCTCAATCACCAAATTGAGCACACGGTGGCGACACCAAACGACGTCATAATGATGGTTGCTAGGTAGAGGTATCAAAATTCTAAATTTGCTCGACGTTCATGATTAACATGTAAAGTGACAATGAAGTAGACATTTTTCGACTAAAAATAAGACGAAACAGAATTAAAATTTACACTGAACAAATAAAGAAGTTGGATTATACATTGTCTTAATTTAGAAATTACACGAATTGAAGTTAGAAATTACATGAATTAAGGTTAGAAATTACATGAATTAAGGTTAGAAGTTACATGAACGGAGGTTAGAAATTAGACGATAGCATGTTAGAATTTTGAATCTAATATACCGCCATAATTACATGAATTAAGGTTAGAAGTTACATGAATTAAGGTTAGAAGTTACATGAACGGAGGTTAGAAATTAGACGATAGCATGTTAGAATTTTGAATCTAATATACTGCCATAGAGGAAGGCCTACATGTACATGGCTTAACGGAACTGCAGTAGTTTAGTTATGTTACCAGTGTGAATCAATGATTAATGATGCAGGGACTAACATATGGCTCAATTTTATTTCAATAAATCGGTGTCATTAGCAGTGGGAAGAAACTATTCCTTGTCACATTCACGCAGGGAATCAAAACCATGCCACTTAACTCAATGACAGACTTTATGGTTTAATGGTTTAATGATTGGTCTTCTGTCTTGTTCTAAATGGTCTATCAACTGGTTCGAGTTGTCATCACATTCATATACATGAACTGGTTTCGAGACGATATACAGCTGAATGCCTGCCATGATATACATGTAGTTTGGCCGATAGGACCAGTAGAGTAGCCACACCCTTTTGTTATGGTTATTGTGTTTGTAGACAACCAATGAAGAATCAGAACAAAAGGCCTTGATATACAAGGCTTATCTGATCTTACGGACCATCGCAATATTTCAACACTTGCGCTCAAATGAATACTGGTGCGGCGGTATTTATAGTATACTATTCAAAAAAAGTATGGGATATTTGATTTTTAAGTGTTATTAAAGTCACCTAATGAAACTGACGAAGAAACAAATGACAAAATGAAATGAAGTTCACATTCATCGATTTATTCCAAATGATCGTTAGACTAAGTAAGGCACAGACTGACCATTATAAGGGTAAAATGATACCCGGGGTCAAACAGCAAAGTTACCACAGCATCACAACCAAGTCAGTAACGGGTAAATCCTCCTCTGTTTGCCAAACAAGCATTGATCCGACGTGGCATACTCCTAATGAGACGTCTATGGTCATTTTGGTCCAGATTGTCCCATTCCTGTTGCAACGCAGCAGCAAGTTCTTGGACATTGGCAGGACGTTGTTGACGTTGACGTAACCTCTGTCCAAGCATGTCCCAGACATGCTCGATGGGGGAGAGGTCGGGACTCAGTGCTGGCCAAGGTAATGTGGTGATGTTCTGTTGTTGGAGGTAACCTGTAACGATTCTGGCCCTGTGACATCTTGCGTTGTCATCCTGGAAGATGAAACGGCGGCCATGACATCGTGCGAACGGCACAACATGGACTGCCAAGATGTTGTCCCGGTAGTACTGTCCTGTAACACGCCCTGCAACAACATGTAAAGCCGTTCTTCCAGCAACAGTGATGCCTCCCCACACCATAACAGAACCACCCCCAAATCGATCATGTCTGATGACGTTAACGTCTTGGAAGCGCTCGTTTCGACGACGCCACACCCTCCTACGTCTGTCCAAAAAATCAACAGTGAACCTTGACTCATCTGAAAACATCACATTGCTCCAGCGTCGATTATCCCAGTGTTGACGATCCCTACACCAACGACGTCTTGCCTGAATGTGATGATCTCTCAAACAAGGGATCACGCGAGGACGTCGGGCGCGAAGGTGACCCCTATGCAGTCGATTCCAAATCGTCTGGCCACTCACTCTCACACCAGTGTCTGTTTGAAGACGAGCGCTGATCTGATTTGCTGTGATGACACGATTTCTCAAGGCCAAGGTACGGATAAATCGATCCTGGGCTTGAGTTGTCGCCCTTGGTCGACCTGAGCGTGGTCTGTCCTGTACAGATTGTGTATCACGGTATCTGGACCATAGTCTGCTTATGACAGACTGAGAAACATTCATCGTCCGCGCCACAACCGCCTGTGTTGTGCCGATCTGTAGCATGCCAAGGGCACGTAACCTTTCATTTTGGGTAAGCCGACGCATATCAAAATTTGTTTTCTGGTCACTAAAACAATTAAACTGATGTTTCCACCCTGGAATTCAATGCCACAATGACTGTAACATTCAAAGTCAGAGTCGTGCAAATCTTGGGTTGGACCCCCATGATGATCCCAAGCATCACCTGCATTCCATGCGGTAGCTATTGGTGCGTTTGGGCGTCACATGTAACTGGAAATGTTTCTTCTGTTAGGTTCTATAGTGACTTTTTTCGTAGTCATTTGCATATTTTAGTATTATGCCCCCAAAATCAAATATCCCCTACTTTTTTTGAATAGTATATTAAACTCCAATCATCAAAATCTAACTGTGTCAACGTTTCTTAATCTGTAGATGGGCCAGTGGGTCTTAGGTAGGTCGAGATCTATGCATGGGTTATTCGGTTGGATGACCCAAGTGTTGAAAATTTGCGATGGTTCCTTGGGCTTGGATATATTTTTCTACTTTTGCTTTCTTTAGAAGTAATTATTTCCTTATTGCGCAATTTTGTCAATTATAAAATGATTTTTAAATATCCTCACTTTTGTGTCTGAATAAGTCCAAATCTTGCTAATAAAAGATCACAATACATTTCTAACAATTCCATGGCTTCCACCAAATAATCCTCTCTGACAATGTGCTCCACCCTGATTCTGGCTCTGTCATCTTTCCCTCCCGAAATATAATCTGCTATTTCTTTCCTCGCCTTCAGTGCCAATTCTGTCTTCTTCTTTTCGAGTAATTTCAATCTGTTTATGGTTAGCCGAAGATTTGTCTTCAGTTTATTATAATTACAACCACTCTTGAACATTTTGAAGCAAATAACTGGTCTCTTTCGAAATAAAACGACAAATTTATTGTGACTCAAGATCACTTCTTGTTTACATCAACGCTCTTCGTCATGAGACCATGAGTTCAATATTATTGACGTCAGCGCTTATTGTGCTATTTGTTTTAGCTTTGATCTACAGGTCACTCATACAAATTTATGGAGTCTGGAGTTATGACCAATGTATATTGTGAGCATGTGTTGTAATAGGGACAATTTTTATCATTACACCCAAATCTAATGTTCAATGCATTTTATATTTCTTTTCTGTGACAAAAGAATTTAAATGTATAATTTATAATTCTAAATGCACAAACACAAGTTTTATTTTTTGTCAAGGTGCGGATGGATAATAGTTATCCGATTCAAGCGACTGGATAAATCTCGACTAAATATAAAATTGAATATTATAGCTAATTTATCAAATTTACGGTGGTAATTGAATGAAAACAAAATGGAACTATACGAGTTCATATATTTGAAATACAAATAAACGGAAATAATGAACAAAAATAAATTTCAATAATATCCACTAAAAAACAACTTCCTGTTTACCGCGGACTAGAAACCACGTGGGTAAACTTTAACAGCACGTGGTTTAGTAAACACATCCGAAATTTGTGATGAAAGCATGTCTTACAGTCTAACTGTCTGTTTCATCCTATCTAAGAATAATTAATCATTTTGTCGTTTAACTTCATAAACCAATTCCACATTTTTAAAAAATGGAGAAGTTAAACACACGTTGGCAGCTGACACAAGCTTTAGATCAACTTTGTAAAAATGACAGCACGTGTGCTGCAAAGTTGACAAGTTTTCTCAAAAATAAGGTATTATTTTTATTTTAATATAATACTTATATAACTAAAAAATGAAAAAAAAGATGAAAGCAGAAAACTTGTAATGCTGCGTTTAAAGATGGGTTCCCGCGTACAAACTCAAACTGGGTGATTTAATGGTATATATGGACCAAAAACATATTCAAACTAATTAATTTGTCATAATTATGCTTCAATTGACAAATCCTTCTCAAACATTGTAATTGCGAAGGAATGCCCTGCTAGTGCTATTAAAATTCGATCAAACAAGATCATGTTTACGTCACGTCTTGTGAGTCAGAGGAGAATTCATTGCATACATAAGACGATATTGTCTTTAATCGCTTACTATTTATTACAAATATTGAATCCTAATTAAATTCTCAGATTATCCACAACCCGTGTCTTTTTCCGTCATTTTTATCTCAGAAAGTATTGTACGTCTAACTCTTCATAAATTTTATCAACTTGTAAATCAAGTGCTCAATGTTCACTTGTGACCTTTGACATCACGCGTGCAGAAGTTCCTAATCGTCGGGCTGTTGATTAGGGGAACCCTTACATTTTTGTCCTGCATGCGCTCCATGAATGTTTTTCGGGGAATCCAGTATTTTTCTAGTAAGATTGGATATCTCTACTTTCCATATATACCAAAATTGCCATACTTTTATTGGAAATAACCACCCGATAAATACTTTTCTGGGAACCCATCTTTAATCAATCTGTCTTATTTCAAGCAAATTTAATTAGATTTATACCCCATACCATGTACCTTGCAGCTTGCTCTATCAGTCTCTTATTTTAATATACTTTAAATTGGGTGGTCTTGGGGACTCGATCCAGATTTCAGGAGGCTGTATGACGATGTGTTATATATTCATATTATCTGTAGCACGATTTACCCAATTCTACCCAAATCCACCGTTATTTCTACTCATACCACAATAATATACATCAACATTTGATAATATACCATTCTTCATACCAAATTGCCATTTTTAATTTAAAACCGTAACATTTTTGTCTTAATAAAAGGCCCCTGGAAATGTGATTTCGTGTAATACACGATTTACGTCCCTTCGTATCAGCTTAAAAATTTGCTTGGAAATCTCATTTTGAAAGGCATTTTTGACACATAAGTTCTTTGATTTTAATTTAAAAATGACAATTTTGCATTAAGAACGGTATATTTTGTTTTCAAATATTGATATATAAGTTATTGTGATATGAATTGATATACATGTAATGGTGGATTTGGTTACAACTTTCAAACTTGCTTGGAAATCACATTTTGAGAGGGGCCTTTTGACACAAAAAAATGTTTTTAAATTATAAATGACAATTTGGTATAAAGAACGGTGTATTATAAAATATCAATATAAATTATTATCTTTTAAGTTGAAATAATGGTGGATTTGGGTAAATAGTGGCTACCCATTATTGTATGTGTGTTATTGTAGATATTTCATTTAAAGACAATTGTAAATTGTTGTTTTTTAGAAATGGAAGCCTAATGAAAGACAACAGCTGCTTACAGAAATCTCGAGTTTATTTCTCGAACCACAATGCACTGCCAGTATTTGTTGTTATTTACGACCCTTGGCATTAGACATTGCAGAAAGGATAAAGTCGACCATTATTCACGGCGAGGGGAATAAACAAAATAAACAACTTATTAGATTTACAGTAGCACTCAGTAGAGCTATCCGAATATGTCCTGATCTAAAAAGGTAGGTATTGCTTTTAAGCAAATGAAACTGGGCTTAACATTTAAGTGATTTAAAGTAGTAAAGTCTCTAACTCAGTATCATCCAAAGTCTTCGACATTGAAAACACAATTTATTAGTCAATTTAAATCAACATTGATGGTGTGATCTTACCAGGAAAAGATAGACATATTCCATAAGTCATGTCAAACGGTGACGCTATACTCTCAACTTGAGAGCATGCGCAATAAATACTGTCTGTGTAGACTGTAATAACCAGACTCTAGAGATTGCCATTCGATTGAGACGTCTGGTGTATTTCGCCAAACATAGCTGGTTTGAAATTGCAGTAAAAACGGAAACAATTGAATGTAACTTTGTTTATACGCACCTACTAAAAATGCAATACTTCCAACACTTGTACTACATGCCACATACATTCATCAATTTATTTGATTTAAATTGTAGTTTGACGTTGAATTTTATGAAGGCGTATAAACCACTTACAAGTCAAGCAGAAGATGAGGAAACCATTGAACCACGAAAAAAGAAAGCCAGAAAGGATAAGGTATTTTGATTCTCAGTATACAAACTGTTAGTAAACTATACATGGAGGTATAGAGTAATTTTTAGCGAGAAGGTCCAGCTAAATCTCTTTGTTAAGGCCTGCTCAATTTTTGTAAAGGTCACTGAGATGTAAATAAGGTTAGGGCACTTGATTGTTGGCGAGATTGTAGGTTAGGGTTACGGTAAACATTGGGGCTTGGTCCAGGGATAGGGTTAGGGTTGTGATTAGCGCTAGCCCTGTTTACATCTCGTGACCTATGACGAAAAATTGAGCTGGCCTTATGATTTAGCACTAAACAAAAAGGTCCATCCTTACAATGTAACATGTAATATTTTGAGCTAAAACATTAAAAGATAATGAGTAATAAGCAACATTCCCAGTGGATACCCAAAAAAATAATTCCACTAAGCAACAGCATGTCGTTGGTTTTCAGATACTGTACTCATAAAATTACATTATAATTGTACATTTGATTTTATCCAATTTCAGATGCTTGATCTAACTTTATGTCAAACTGCATGGTACCTAGTGGATGCATTAGGACCTGATGTCAAAGACTATATTCCACTAGATAGACTATTAGATAAATTATCCAGTGCAGACCATGATGTTAGATGGTAAGGCTATTATGTTAAAGATGCATTTTGTAAGAATTAAGATATGACGTGGGTTGTATCGAGTGGATGTTAAACCCCATTTCTTTCTCTCTTAGTCTTTATTGTTAAACCTTTAAATGGCAGTGGTGTTCTAATCTACTATGGCTCTAATGGCCCAGAGAGTTGGCTATGAGCATTTCATGTTAATAAATGTCTGAACATTTTTACGTGACTGCGACCTCTGGTTAGACTTGAACTTAATTGTTGTAGTTGTTGTGGTTCAGTGGGTAAGACGTTGGCTCGCTAACCTGGAGGACAGGTGTTCGATCCCTGTCTTGGCCGAGAAAGTTCTTCGAGTTTTTCTGGCATGGTTCCTGGTGCAGGACCAAGAGCCTGGCAACGAACTATGTATATACAGGTCACAATTCTATGGAATACAATTACTGCTTTTTACTGAGCGACGTTTCGACTAGGCTTCTCTAGTCATTATCAAGCTATGACGAAAAATGAAAATATGACAGGACAATATATACATGTACACAACAATGCTTAGTTAATGCTGACAAACCAGGGATGTAACTTAATTACGCGTACCTAATGGTAATCTGATTTAATTGTACGCTAATAAGTAATAATACCAATTAACCTAAAAAATTGACTAATTGAATAATGGATAAGTTGTTGTGGAGTATACACAATGATTAGTGGGTTTTAATAATACAAACGTTGCAAGAAAATGAAAATTGATGAAATGTTATCAACGACCCCTTTCACTGAAATAAATACAAATGATAAAAGAATAGATTGTTGTGGAGTATTTACAACGATTTGATGAGGTTTTGATAATGACAACATCCCACGAAGATGAGATTTGATTGGTGTTATGACCAAAATAATTGATATGTGGATGTTGATGCTAGTGATTACACTGATATACGAAAAACCCTTAGAACAATGGCTGCACAAATGATCAATAGTCCCCTGAAGGTTGACAATTTAAAATATTGAGTGGTACTTCACTGGATGTTATAGTGATGTAGAAAAGCAGGGTTAGAAATATTGAGTGCATTAAATTACAATAACTATGTATAGTTGTTTGGATGGGATGGAAAACAGGTCCCGTGTACACATTGCCATGCACATGAAAGATCCCTTGGCAGTTGGAATTGGATATAAAAGTAGGCCGTAGCAACACTGTCCGGAAAATTTCTACCAATGAAGACGAGAATAACGATAAGGAGAACATGCGTCAAACCAGTGATTGTTTTTCATATAAATTGAGTGTGTTAAAATTGTTTTTAATGCTATATTTGCTGCTATTTTGTTCTGTCAGTAGGATTATATTTACTGTTATATTTACAGGTATTGTGTTCTGACAGTCAGTAAAATATTAAACATGTCAAATCACGAGAAACAATTATTTACGAGAAAATATTTCACGATGGAGGAAGAACATGAACTGACTATCAGGTAATTAATTTTAAAACTTACGCAGCTAAATTTCTACCTGGGTGGAAGGGGCTCAGGGGACTAATTGTCCAACACACACACTTTATATCATTAAACTATTCAGCAGGGTAAACAGGCTAAATACCCTCACTTCAACCATAATGCCTGTAATATAACAACTCTTCCCGATCCTAGTATAGTAAAGATAAGTAAAACGTAATTTTGAACTAATCAGATTGGTCATTGAGATACATGTAAGTGGCGTTGTACATGACAAGGCGTAAAGACACCTACCCAACTGCCACAGTTACTTCCCACTTCTAATGACGCATTTTGAATTATTGAATTATAATTGAACCATATGTTAGTCTCAAAATGACCTGGTTTGCGTGGAGTGGATGTTAAACCCCATTTCTCTCTCTCTTCTTTAATCTGGGGGGTTGGATGACCGAATGGTGAGCGGGTGTGCGCTGTATCATAAAGCCTGTCATTGATTCCTCGGTGGATTTTCTCAATGACTGCTAAAGACCCCTACACTCAAGCGGATTATTGAAATGAAATTGAACCATGTTAGTGACGTAATGATGTAGTTTGTGTCGTGTGTTAACCTCTCTCTCTCTCTCTCTCTCTCTCTCTCTCTCTCTCTCTACTGTAATCTATCTACAAAAGTCAGTTTGTTTTCTTCTGAATCTTTAATCACAATATTTTGTTTTCCATCGACAGAGATTTTACAGAGGAAGAAATATTTAAATGTAAATATTTAAAGATATGTGATGTTGTTACCATGGAAACATCAAATAAGAGTGAATCTAGTCGAACATTACAACAGATTGTCCCGTCAGATTTACATCAAAATGTTGTCGAAGTTTGTGGTGTTTTGTTGCCAAAATTAACGGACATAGAGGTGGTAAGATATTGATTATTTGATATTTTTGAAACAGATTTATATTTAATCTTGATCCTAACAAATAGCACACTGCTAAAGACACCTGGGCACAAGCAAATTATGAAAATAAAATTGTACGATATTGTGTTAGTCCCAAAATAACCTAGTTACAATCATTGGGGGTGTTTGATTGACAGAATTGCAATCAAGTTATACAGAATTCAGCCCTGTCCTGCCAGTCCCAACAGCTGAGGTGGTGTGAGTAGAATCTTTACGTATTTTAAGTAATAAATATGTTTCAGCTGTCATGATTGGTTGAGATATCTTTTTATGCAGTCGGCACATGCGTTGTAGTCCGAAATTCTCCTTTACACTCGATTGGCACTCAGAGTTTTCAATCAAGTATCCCCATATTGATAAAGTTTGAAGTCTTGGATAACTCTGCTATAGATATTTCCTTTCTGACCTAGTATTGCAACCTCGTGGGTTTTCTCTGGGTCCTCCGGTTTCGTCCCACTGCTAAAGATTGAAATAAAATTAAACCATATGTTGGACCCGAAATGACCTAGTTTGTGTCGAGTGGACGTTAAACCCCATTTCTCTCTCTCTCTCTGACCTAGTATTATTATTGAAATAAAATTGGACCATTTGTTAGTCCCAAAATGACCTAGTTTGTGTCAAGGGGAGGTTATACTCTCTCTCTCTCTCTCTCTCTCTCTCTCTCTCTCTTTATATCCAGTTTTAGTTTTGCAATAATTTTGTGTTTTTCGATGTATTTCAGCAAAGTGAATACACATCTCTTGTACCAGTTTCATCCATGTTAAATAATCTACGAAGTTTAGCTCTAGCTGTTGCGTCTGGAAGTCCGGTGCTACTACAAGGTCCAGTTGGTAGTGGGAAAACATCCATAGTTGAACATCTAGCACATCTGACTGGTTGTCATTCCTCGCCTAGCTTAATGAAAATACAACTGGGTGATCAAACAGATAGCAAGGTAAACTACAACAATTTGATTATTTTCCCGCTGTTCAAGATGTCTTTATGAAAGTTTGTGGCACATCAACCTATTATGGTAAATGTGCCTTTTGCTAATTAGAAGTGAGGTTGAGTTGTTTAACCCATGCACTTCGGATCATTAGATCTGTCATTGAGTCCAGTAGCTTTGTTTTGATTCGCAGATTTCCAAATTCGCAGGTTTTATCTGGGTCCTCCAGTTTCCTCCCACTGCTAAAGACCCCTCTACACAAGCAAATTATTAGAAAAAAATTGTACAAACTGTTAGTCCTGAAATGACCTAGTTGTGTTGTATGAAAGTTAAATTTGACTATCCGAAGGTGCGTGATGTTGATGACTTCTTGTATTTGTAGGCGTTATTAGGTATCTATAGATGTACGGAGATACCAGGGGAGTTTGTTTGGCAACCTGGTATATTAACACAAGCTGTTATAGATGGTCATTGGGTGTTATTAGAAGATATAGATTATGCACCAATGGATGTTGTCTCAGTATTATTGCCCTTGTTGGAGAATCAAACACTATCTGTACCTGGTCATTGTGATAATATACAAGCTTCTCCCAACTTTAGACTCTTCGCTACACAAAGGTGATATAAATTTTTCATATTTATGACTTTTTTTAAACATGTATTATGCAAGAGGTAAATCTGCCTATTTCAGGGCCAGAAATGTTATATAAACTATTAATTAGACATTTATTAACCCATTTAACCCTGAGCCAATTAAAAGATTAGCTACCCTAACCCTAAGCTAATTAAATCAGCAGGGCCCATTTCCTAAGCCAATTAGTGGATTATTGTTAATCCTAACACAAATATAGTCCCTCACGTTGGCAGCAGTGTTCAAAGTAAATGTAAATATAACTTTTAAAAAGAAATATCACCCCAAGTGACGGTCACTTCATCGCTATCGGCATTTTAACATTTCTGCCTTTCTTTGGATATATGGTCGTCTTCTTTGCTATATTGCGTCGAAAATAAAAATATATAGTTGAAATCTTGAACAATGTAATATTCCTCTATGTAGCTTGTATTAGATCCCAAAAGTTTTGATTCAGTTTAGTTTTCCAAAGTCTAGAATTATTAGCCGTAAGTTTTGTGTCATCATGTGTTTGAAAGCGCACCGTATCCAAGATGGCGGCGACACGCTTGATCTCGGCTCGAGTATCCGTATTCTTCGCATTATAACATCAAAAAAAATAATCAAATAGTTGATTTCTTCGACATTATCATATTCTACGATATGCCTGGCAGTAAATCATAAAAAAATCTGATTCCATTTCACTCTTCATATCATAAAATTATTAGCCGTAAGTGACAATGTGAAAATATTGGAGTACTGCCAAAGTCATTGACACGGTGTGAATTTTCACCTCTGACCTATTACGTAAATAATGGAAGATCCTTTGTTGAAACGTATGTTTTTTATTCGATAATTGGCGAATATAACATTCCTTGCCATTGAGTGCTTTATTTTTATTACTCAATCACCATTAATTTATGAAATAAACACAATAGAAATCTGTTGATTGTTCTGGCGCTTTTGTTCGCTATTGTCGTTGCAAAGAAAGATGGGTTTGCGAGTTTATTCGCTACCGTGAGTCACTTGGTGCGAGTT